GAAATACCGCTATTTAAATGAAAGCAATGATTCTGAATGATACAGCAAATGTTGCAAATGACCCTACATTTGTGATTTCTGTGGATTTTTTCCTCTATGGTACAGACTTGGTCTGTGATGATTGAGAGGTCCAGACTGAGTACAGCATGTCATGTATTCTAATGAAATAAGAGGTTGGATACAAGAAAGTAGATATGTAAGAAATACCGCTATTTAAATGAAAGCAATGATTCTGAATGATACAGCAAATGTTGCAAATGACCCTACATTTGTGATTTCTGTGGATTTTTTCCTCTATGGTACAGACTTGGTCTGTGATGATTGAGAGGTCCAGACTGAGTACAGCATGTCATGTATTCTAATGAAATAAGAGGTTGGATACAAGAAAGTAGATATGTAATAAAAGTATATAAGGTAAATGTAGGTAAATAAGATGACTAACAGAGAAATCCTATAAACCTTTGCCAGACCTGTTTGGGAAAGGGAGTAGGAGGCAAGGCAACAGCATGTAAAAAATAAAATGTTTCTTTGTAATATTAATGGAAATATGTTTATATGTTGGAAAAGATGCCTCAAATAAAATTTCTTATATTTGGGGAAAAGACCTATGCTCCAATAGTTATGTACAGAAAGGAAGCACAAATGACAAAATGGAACTGGGGTCAATTCTGATATCCCAAATAGTTAAATTAAACTTTGCATTTTTCTAAAACCATATAAAGGATAACCATACTTTATCCCCCATTTCCTCCAACTGATCACTTGTTTTTAAGATAGTCACCAAGCCTGCGTCTAGACTGGCATGATTTTGCGGAAATACTTTTAATGGAAAAGTTTTTCCATTAAAAGTATTTCTGGAAAAGAGCGTCTTGATTGATCCCGGAGTTATCATTAGAACGATGCGTTTTTGCGCAAAAGCGCATCTAGATTGGCGGCGTATTGTGCAAGAAAGCTCCGATGGCGCATAAAATTAAGGTGCCTCTCTACACTGGCCCTCTTGCACAAGTATTCTTGTGCAAGAGGGCTTATCCCTGAGCGGGAGCGTCAAAAGTATTTGCGCAAGAAGCACTGAATTCTTACATTAGAACGTCAGTGCTCTTGCACAAATTCAAGCAGCCAGTGTAGACAGCTGGCAAAATCTTGCCAGTCTATACGCATCTCAAGAGTTTAACAAAATTAGTTAAACTAATACAGAATACACTCTGTTTATCTAATCCAAATAAAGCTAGAAAGAACTACTACTAAATATAGTAAATTGGCATAAAGCTTTATCCATTATAGTTCTGGAAATAATGCTTAGAACTTTTATGTTTTCCATTTTCAGTGTGCTTTACAAATACTATTTAATACTTAAAGTATGTGAAGCTAATAGCTTTTTGATTGAGTACATGGAAGAAAAGTTAAGTGACTTTCTTAGGTTGCAGAGGAGGTCAGTGTCAAAACAAAGATTTGGCACTCTCAAATTCTGGTTTTCTGGTTCTGTGCAAAACACACACACACATCTTTCTCCTGGGGAAGATTGTACCGATGCTTACAAATGGATTAATATACTCTCAATGTAGGGAACAGACTGAAAATATTTCTGGTTTAAATTGCGCCCCAAAGCAATTGCTTATTATTATTATGCAGAAGCGTTGATACAGTCATGATGAAGTTAATGGATGGATAGTTATTGCTTTTTGTTTGTTCTATATTTATATGTTTTATGTTTTGTATTGTGGTAGTAGCTATTTCATGTAAAAATTTGCATCTTCCTTACAGGAGTTGGCATAATTTAGAACGGTAGAGTTATCTTATTCCTTCTTATCTGAAGTACATAATATTAAAAGTAAGTTTGAAATAATGCTAGAAAAGATGCACTTATTTTCCTCTAAACCTAGAGAAAATGCTTTGTACACACGTACTAACTTGCTGTCTAAGGAGGACTGAATGGAATTCCATTTGAAACACACTTAAGAATTTTTCTTTATTTGTCCAAAAAAAATAACATTAAATGGCAATAGCATTCTTCCCCTTCATTTATTCCCAAAGTTCCTAGGGGTTGAACAAGCCACATTCACCATGTTTTCATCTTATCCTAATTTGCTGAGCAAGCATCCCAGAGCAACAGTTGAACCTCAATCTTGAAGATGGCAGTGCGGATAGTGTGCAAGGCCACTGTTCCTCTCTCCATTTTTTAAAAAGTTTATTTTCTAAAATAGATATTATTAGTTTATAAGGTAGGTGGGATGTCTTTATAAAGGATGCTGATTATTAAATTATTCATAAACAAAATCGAAGTTACTATAATTTGATTGCAATTCAGAAGCTTCAATGAGAATTAAAAATACATTTTAAAAGCTTAGCTTAGTTTATATTTGTATTTATTTTTTTGAGAAGTATTAATGTTATGTGGCTGGTAACAGAGGCAATGCAAACCAGCAGAGATAGTAGGGACCTCGTTTTCATTTACGCTAGAGCTGTAAATTGCATTTGCATTCACTATAAGGCTGCTTTACACTGCCAGACTGGTGTACGGGGCTTAGTGTGAATGAACATCAAGCCATAGGTGTCTATTCATAGTTTTTCTGCCATAACTTCCTCTGTTAGCTGAACTTTGTTTAACAGCTGTCACATAAGTACATAACATGGAATTTGGCAAATGGAAAAACTGTGACCAAGCAGGATATTTCGCTTGAGGTCTGATAACTCTAGGTGTATCCTAAGCAAACGTTTTAAATTTTCGATCTCTAACTACAAAGTTATACAGCATATTTATATTCAGTACTGAGAAAAAGCTACAAGATTTTTAAAAAATTAAATAAACTACAACAAGTTGTGTGTTTTTTAAAATGCATTTCACAGAAGCAGCAGTGTGTTCTTTTCTCTTTCTGGGCTGAAATATGTTGTCACTTTTTTATAATTCAGTCTCCTTAATTTTTTATATTCTTCACAAATATAAAAGACGCTGCACGTAAGATATTAAAATATGGTTCTAATTGTGCAAGGACCTCATTCATTTATTTTCCTTTTAAAATCCACTTCTCTTCTCTAGACTTTGACAATGTCATACATTAAAACCCTGCTTATTGACAATGAAGGGGTTGGGGAATCATAATATTGGAGATTTAGTGAACACTGCATACATTTTTAGATACTCAAATACAGAGGTTCTCAAGTTGTATTTGTACCACTGCATATACACAAACATCTTCTGAGGTATGTCAACTTTTCTAGATATTTGTCTAGTTTTACAGCAGAGTATATAAAAAGCTTTAGCAAAGTCAGTACGAACTAAAATTTCATACATACACTGACTTGTTTATACTGCTCTATATACTATACACAGAAATGTAAGCACAATATTTATATTCCCATTGATTCATTTTACATTTATATGATGAAAATGAGAGAGGCAATTTTTCAGTA